AGCATCACCGAGGGTTCATTGGATGATCGACGGAAGCTCGTCGGAAGAAGCGATTGACGCACTGGAGCAAGTTGCAGTAACTGTCTTAAGAAATTCGTAGTTAGCACGATGATTAAGTTAGAAATGGGAGGTGATCCCATTAACTTAATCTTGGGGTAATTGGGCCCTTGACAGACCCAAATTGGGCCAAATGGATCAGCCCATTCGGACCCAGATTACTTGGCCAAAGGTGGCACCGCCTGGATCGGCGGTGGCACCGCCCAGGGCTCAGTCTCTAAGCTCTGGCTGGGCGGTGCAACCGCCTCTAACAGAGGTGCAACCGCCTGAGCTCGATCTCCGAGCTCTGGCAGGAGGTGCAACCGCCCCTAACAAGAGGTGACACTGCCCAGAGGCTCAGTCTTCGAGCTCTGCCTGGCGGTGCAACTGCCCCAGTCAGGCGGTGCAACCGCCAGACCCCGGAATTTCGGGAATTGATAGTTTTGAGCTCGGAATTTAAATTGGGTTGGGGCCTATAAATACCCTACCCTTTCAGCAATGAAAGAATAACCAAAAACCACCGAAATCCTGATCTTACTATGTGATTTTTAGAGCTCAAAAGTGTTGTATGAGTTAAAAGTTCTCCTTCCTCTTTTCTTCCAAGTTTTGATTTGTCAAGAGAGGAAAGAAAATTCTGTATGGGTTGTCTCCTAAGCTCGTTAAAAGGAGTGAAATTGTAAAAGGTGGTTGGCCTTCGCCTATTGAAGGAAGGCCTCTAGTGGACGTCAGTGACCTCGTCGATGGAGGAAGCCAAAAGTGGATGTAGGTCAAGATTGACGGAACCACTCTAAATCTTGGTTTGCATTTACTTTGAGCATATTATCTTTACTGCAAACCTCCTCAATAGCTTACTGCCTTCTGCGCATTTATGATCGTGTTTCAAAGTTCAGTATTTTCCGAATCGGCGTTTAGACGTAAATCAGTTTTATCATACGAACATCATATTTCAGTTTACGCTTACATTCTAATTTTCATCATAACTACAAACTGCTTTCATAGACTTGCTTTAACTGCATCTTGCTTGATCATAAGTTAAAGTGATTTACGAATCGACTTTTCTACCGAAATCGCTCTTATCGTACGAACGCAGTTTTAATCGTCGAAAGTTTTTCGCTGTACTAATTCACCCCTCCTTTTAGTACTCTTGATCCTAACAATTGGTATTAGAGCGGGGTTAACTCTCAAATGGATTAAAACCCAAGAGAGATGACATACGCCGGAAACCAAAAGGGCCATTCTATTACACGTCCACCCATGTTCAATGGGATGGACTACACCTATTGGAAGACCCGAATAAGGATCTTCCTTATTTTAATAGATTTTGAACTTTGGAATCTTGTCGAAAATGGATTTTCGAAGTCTTCTCTTTCAATGATCGATTGGAATGAATTGGAGAAGAAGACTTACGCTTTTAATGCAAAGGCTATGAATGCCTTATTTTGTGCGCTTGATAAAAGTGAGTTTAATCGTGTTTTGGTTTGTGAAACCGCGTTTGATATTTGGCATACACTCGAAGTGACTCATGAATGCACAAGTAGAGTGAAAGAGTCAAAAATCAATCTTTTGATACACTCTTTCAAACTTTTCCGAATGAAACCGAGCGAGACTATTAGCGATATGTACACCTGTTTCACGGATGTCGTCAATGGTATAAAATAACTCGGCAAAAGTTTTTCAGATTTTGAGCTCGTAAATAAGATTCTAAGATCCCTTCCTAAGAGTTGGGACCCTAAAGTCATTGCTATTCAAGAGGCTAAAGATTTAAACAACTTCCCTCTTGAAGAACTAATCGGGTCATTAATGACCTATGAAATGACATGCAAGGCTCATGAAGAGCAAGAAGACATCCTTCCAAAGAACAGGAAGGATATGACACTTAGAACTTTAGATGACCACTTGAGAGAAAACTCAAGTAATGAGGACTGTGACGATGACTTGACACTTCTAACAAGGAAATTCAAAAAATTCATTAAGAGAAACAAGTTTAAAAATGACACAAAAAATAAACTTGAACTCAAAAAGGACAAGTTATTTGCTACGAGTGCAAAAAGCCGAGACACTACAAAAGTGATTGTCCCCAAGCCAAGAAGAGAACATCAAAGAAGAAGGCACTCAAAGCAACATGGGATGACTCGAGCACGTTCGAAGAAGAGGAGTCCAACACCGAGCAAGTTTCTCATTACGCCTTAATGGCCATTGGAGAGGAGGTAACAAATTTAATTGATGCAGATTTATCATTTGATGAGTTATTAAATGCCTTCCATGACTTATTTGATGAATGCAAGATTATTAGTAGAAAATACAAATTGCTAAAAAAGGAGCATGATAGTCTTACTTGTAATTTCGATAAGTTAAAAACTGAATATCATGATAGTTTAGGTTCTTGTATAAAATGCCATGATCTAGAAACTATCCAAAAGGAAAACTTGCTACTTAAGGACACCTTGAAGAAATTCGAGGTTGGTAGTAAGTCTTTGATCATGATCCATACAAACAAGGGTCACGTTCCCAAAAGAAGTGGAATCGGATTTGTGAGAAATCCTCACTAAAATCCAACCACCTTCATAAAAGGCCCCATCCTACATATTCGACACCAAAGCAAATGTAACTTT